ACAGAGCACCGGTCTATCCAACATCATCTCCTCTTCTGTTTCAGCCTCCTCTGTCGCAACTGTGGCTGCAACTACTGGCCGAGCTCTTGGACCAGGCCTCACATTTTCTGGCCCATTGCGTCACTCGAGTGGTTCTCTTTTGCTGGTTAACTCATCTCCAGCCCCCAACACTGGCACCTCCGCAGCCTTGCCGACCGCTATTGGTCTTCCGACGCCTGGTTTGGTAGCAGCTCCAGCTTCAGGTTCTGGCTCAACCTCTTGCCTCGGCCTAACGAGTGGTAGTAAGCCTGCTACTGTGCCCAGTGGACCTGGTAATGGTTCCGTTGGGGAAACTGGCCCAATCGGCCATCATCATCATCAGCTTGTGCAACCACAACAGCCAGCAGCCGCTTCTCCTCTGCACTCAGGAGCAGTTAGTTCGACGCTCGGGATATCAGCTGTACCAAAGGCTTTGGCGACCACTCACAGTCTCGCTTCCCTTGCCTCCAGCCTGGCCGCACCGTTAGCGGCATCTGCTACTGCAAGCTGCAACAATTTTCCCGTCGATGAATCTAACTTAACTAGTGCTGACACCTCTTGCCCGTTGAGCCAGCCGAGTTTGTTGGGTGTTTTGCCCTCACTTGAACCCGTGATGCCAATTAGATCCGGCGTACTTAGTCATGCGGGTAGATCAAGCCATTCCTCCGGCCAGAGAGAGCCGCAGGCTAATCTGCCGCAGCTTGGTACAGCTGTATCACAAGTTCATGCTCACACTCATCGTCATCATCGACCTCATCATAGTCACCAGCATCATAACCAGCACCAGCCACAGCATCATCCGGTCGTCTCTGGCTTCTCGGCTCCACCAGCTTCCATGCCCGTAAGTCAAGAGTAACTACGATAATCTCCTCTATGCTCCAACTTAGAATGCCTTAACCTTGGGGTCTGACAATCTCCAAGTTAACATTTTTTTATCGTTGAGGTTTCCTAAAGCTTTGCTAGCTTGGCTAATATATAAATATTTTCTGAGACTATTTCTGATCCTTGAATAAGAACTAAATCACCTTAGTTCGTTTAGGATGATTCAGAAACTGTTGGTTGAGTTTTCCTATAACCACGAGGTCAGTTAATTTCCCTTAGCCATGCCTCTAACCAATATGTAGATAATCAGTGCCCTTATGTTTTTATAAATTTGCCACTGCCTTGCAACATTTTTCATAGGATGTTGCATACACTGTTGATCTAACTAAGGGCTTTGATTTTACTTTTGAAGCTCACTGTTTAACATGTATCATAAATTTGTCCCGGATCGTATGCACTCCAGTGTAGACTGTGGTTTCCACCTGAGCTTGGTCTCATTAGAACCCTGGTGGGACTCGAACGTTAAATTAAAGTATCCAGAGGCAAACACGTCACTTACTGGGCTGCACCATCCTAGTACCGTTGGATTACGAAATAGGTATTACTTTCAATAAATCTCTCTCATATTTCATCTATCTTGGAGAACTTTTTATAGACAGGTTATTGTGTCTGAAATAATGTTTGTACTCTCCTGGATCATAAATGTCATGAATCAGACCTTTAGGTTTGGATCTCTCTTGGGTGATCACACTACCTAGTCCAGATCGAAACTGCAATCCGCTTTAAATTCGAGTACTCTTTTGGATGATGGACACAGAAAAATTTACTGGCTAAACATTGAGTCTTAATACCTGTGATCGCTTTTACTCAGGGAATAATAATCTTCCACTTTTGAGAAATTTTGTCAAATTGCTCAATATTTTTGTATCATTATAGCTTATTTGCCCTCTGTCTCCAGGTCCAGGTTCATTGCCTTTTATGATCATCTATTCTTTTTATTTTTTGACCAATTGTACAAATCACTTTCTGTGGCACTCCCCCTTTTTACTTTCTTTATTTTGACATGATTTAGGTTTTTCTTGTTTTTCTTGTTTATCTTAGCCGTATGTGTATTCTTGCCTATCATGCTTTCACTGATCTTGCGCT